TTCAGCACACAGGTTGAATAAATATGGTGAAAGAATACAACCTTGTCACACACCTTTCTTAATTTTAAAACATTCAGTGTTCCCATGTTCTGTCCGAACAACTGCTTTTTTGTCCAGGTACAGATTCCTCGTGAGCACAATTAAGTGTTCCGGAATACTCATACTGTGCAATGTTGTCCATAGCTTGTCATGATTCACACAATCAAAAAGCCTTTGCATAGTCAATAAAACACAGGTAAACATCTTTCTGATATTCTCTGTTTTCAGCCAAGATCCATCGGACATCAGCAATAATATCCCTTCTTCCATGGCCTCTTCTGTATCCAGCTTGAAACTCTGGAAGTTTTCTGTCAATGTTTGATTGTAGCCATTTCTGTATTACCTTAAGCAATACTTTACTTGCATGGGATATCAAAGAGATTGTCCAATTATTTCCGCATTCTGTTAGATCACCTCTCTTTGGAATGGGCATAAATATGGATCTCTTCCAGTTGTCCAGATAGTTGTCTTACAAATTTCTTGGCAGAGATAAGTGAGTGCCTCCTTACTTTCTTGAAAGATTTCAATTTTTATTCCATCAATTCCTGGTGCCTTGTTCTTTGCCAATTCCTTCAATGTACCTTGGACTTCCTCCTTCAGTATCATTTGTTCTTGATCATATACTACCTCTTAAAATGGTTGAGCATTAACCATTTCTTTTTGGTACAGTGACTCTGTGCATTCCTTCCATCTTCTCTTGATGCTTTCTGCATCATTCAATAATTTTGACCAGAGAATCTTTCAATAACGAAAGTCGAGCCTTGAATTTTTTCTTCAGTTTCCCCAGCTCAAGAAATGTTGACCGTGTTCTTCCTTTAGTTTTTCTGATTCCAGATGTTTGCACATTTGGTTGTAATATTTAGCTTTGTCGTCTCAAGCTGATCTTTGAAATTTTCTGTTTAGCTCTTGGACCTCCTCATTTCTTCCATTTGCTTTAGCATCTCTACGCTGGAAAGCAAGTTTCAGTGTCTCTTCTGACATCCCTTTTGACCTTTTCCTTCTTTCTTGTCTTCTCAATGATTTTTTGCTTTCTTCATGTATGATGTTCTTGATGTCATCCTACAACTCTTCTGGTCTTCAGTCTTTAGTGTTTAATGCATCAAATCTGTTCTTCAGATGATCTCTAAATTCAGGTGGGATATATTCAAGGTCATATTTTGGCTCTCGTGGACTTGTTTTCATATTTTTCAGCTGCAGTTTGAATTTGCATATGAGTAATTGATTGTCTGTTTCAAGTCTGCCCCTGGCCTTGTTTTCACTGATGATATGCAGCTTTTCCATCGTCTCTTTCCACAGATGTAGTCAATTTGATTTCTGTGTATTCCATCAGGTGAGGTCCATGTGTGTAGTCGTCTCTTATTTGAAATGAGAAAATCATTGGTTTTGCGGAATTCTATTATGCATTCTCCAGCATCATTTCTATCACCAAAGCCATATTTTACAACTACTGACCTTTCCTCTTTGTTCCCAACCTTTGCATTCCAATCACTAGTAATGAGTAATACATCTTGATTGCATGTTTGATCAATTTCAGATTGAAGAAGTTGACAGAATTCTTCTACTTTATCCTTACTGGCTTTAGTTGTTTGTGTGTAAATTTGAATAATAGTGGTATTAACTGAGCTTCCTTGTAGGTGCATGGATATTATCCTATCACAGACAGTGTTCTACCTCATGACTGATTTGGGTATGTTCTTTTTGACGATGAATGTAACACCATTCCTCTTCAATTTGTCACTCCCGGCATAGTAAATCATCTGGTTGTCAGTTTCAAAATGACCAACGCCAGTCCATTTCAGTTCACTAATGCCTAAGATATCGATGTTTATGCGTTTCATTTCATTTTTGACAACTTCCAACTTTCCCAGATTCATACTTCATACATTCCATGTTCTGATTTTCAATGGATGTTTACAGCTGTTTCTCTTCATTTTGAGTTGTGTCCCATCAGCAAATGAAGGTCCCGCATGCTTTTCTCCCACAAGCTTTACTTCATTTGCGTTCTCACAGTCAACTCTACTTTGAGGAGGCAGCTCTTCCCCAGTTGCATTTTGAGTGCCTTCTGACTTGAGGGGCTCATTTTCCAGCACTATATCTGACAGTGTTTCTGTGCTATTGATAAGGTTTTCAGTGACTAAATATTCAGAAGAAGTTGGTAGAATTCTTCAATATTACCATCACTGATTTCAGTGGTCCATGCGTAAATTTGAATAGCGGTATTAACTGGTCTTCCTTATAGGTGAATGGATATTATCCTTTCACAGACAGCATTATACTGCATGACTGATAGTGATATGTTCTTTTTCACGTTGACTGTGATGCCATTCCTCTTCAATTTGTCATCACGGGCAAATTGATTTCCAGATTCAAAATGGTCAATATTAGTCCACTACATTTTTTGACAACCTCCACTTTTTCTAGATTCATACTTCATATGTTCCCTGTTCCAATTATTAATTTATGTTTACAGCTATTTATCAATAACTTGAATTGTGCCCCATTGGAAAGTGAAGGTCTCAAAGGCTTTACTTAATTTGCGTCAACATGGCCAATTATATTTTGAGTAGGCAACTTGACCCGCGTCGTATCTTGAGTGCATTTCAACCTGAGGGGCTCATCTTCTAGCACTGTGTCTGACAATGTGCTGGTGCTCTTCATTACGTTTCAATATTCAATTTTCTGGTGCTGACAGTGTTCCACTGCTATTCATAAGGTTATCAGTGACTAAATATTCAAAAGTAGTCTGTCTCTCCTTCTTCCTAGTATGTCTATGCCTGAAAGCTCAGCTAAAACCTGTCCAGCATGGGCAAGCCTGCTGTATTTAAAAAAAATGGTGGCATAGCTTCCAGAATCACAGCAATCTGCAAGCCACCACAGTATGACAATCTGACAGATGAGTGCCAGACAGTTCAAAGTAGAGAACCAGACACTGATTCAGTCATATCATGTGTCATTAGGCCATAGTTTTTAAAAATTGACTCTGAATGTCTTTAGGTAGGGACTGAACTTTCATTTCCACACAATCTCTACCCAGGGACTTCACATTACCTGCTTGGCCTCTGAAAATATTTACATGAACTGCAATGAAACTCCTGTTTAGGAAGTCAGTCAGGTTAGAAGAGAAAGATTCCAAATTATTATCTTCCTTTCAACAGGTATTAGGTGTAAAACTGCTATAATCTCAGAAGTTTGTAAGACTCATCTCTGTGAGTGGAGATAGGTGAAAGGGAATGATTAAGTTTCAATCAAACATACCTTGATATCATTGTCTATGCCACCAGAAATAATTTGATCACTTGTGTCATTGAAGGTCACAGCTAACACCTGGTAGGTGTTTTGAAAAGTCTGGATGGCTGCTTTCTTACGGATGTCCCAAAGCTGAAACAAAGGAACAGAAGTCTATTAGTACCATCACTCTAAGATGTCATTAGTCAGTACATCCTTAAGTGCCAAGGATTTTGAGGAAGTGAGCGCACCACTAAAAAGGGCCCCACAGAAAACTTTTCCTGGATATTCTGGTAACATATATGGTTAAAAAGTAGCCACAAATTTGCCATTACATATGAGGTTGAAGGAATAAATCCCCACTTCAGTTATATTTCAAGATTTCTTTGATAAAGTTTAGAAAACACAATGTGGAAAATATAATCAATGTCAATGAACAATTATTCATAGAAATTATTAAATGGGAACTTAATTTGTTGTGTAAACTTACACCAAAACCTCAACAGAATGTTAATAATTAAAGAAGTATTGTTAACCAAAATGCTCTAGAGTGGATGTTCCTGTACCTGCTGATATTAAAAAAAAAAAAAAAAGCCAACGTTCCAGAGGAAGGTATGTCAATAAAAACGGAATAGTAGACAACTACAAAAAGTAGCTGTTGAAGACACAGTTTAATACTTGACTGCTAACCAAAAAGTTGGTGGTTCGAACCCACCATCAGCTTTTACATGAGAAGATCCTTGACAATGTGCTTCATACAGATTGTTGTTGTTAAATGTCATCGAGTTGGTTCTAAAGCATAGCAACCCTGTATAGGGTTTCCGAAGAGCGGCTGGTGGGCTTGACCCACCAACCTTGTAATTCAGACTGACACTGCAGTTCAGCGCATTAACCCTCTGTGCCACAGAAATCTTATGGGTCTTAGGAAATCTTATGGGGCAACTTTACTCTGTCCTAGACAGTTGCTATGCATCAGAATTCAGTAGACAATAATATAATAACAGTACTGGTGGAAGGAGCTCTGGGAGCGTAGCGGTTACGAATCAGGCTGCGAACCTCAAGGTCAGCAGTTCGAAACTACCAGCTGTCCCGTGGGAGAAAGATGAGGAAACCCTGTACAGGGTCACTATGAGTTGGAACTGACTCCACCGCACATAATCACCACTGGAGGGAGAAGAATGGACCTCATTCTCTAAGCAGTTTTGGTTGTTTGCTTGGACTTGTCTGGCTCCTTGAATTACCAGTGGAAAAATTTTGTCTGTATTGTTCCCGACTTAAAACTCTCCAAAGGGGGATGAGATAGGGGTATAGCATTTGTCACACACAATTAAAGACGCGGGAGAAAGATAAGGCGTTCTGCTCCCGTAAAGATTTATAGCCTAGGAAACCCTATACAGGGTCGCTATGGGTCGGAACCGACTCGATGGCACTTAACAACAACAACAACAACAACAAATATTGGCTGCTGCTGAAGGCAAGGGATAGAAGTTGGTGCAAATAACAGACAAACCAAAAAGCTGAAAGAAAAGGCTGGAGAATGTTTCAGAAATAAAGGCTTTGAAAAGTTCAGACATTTCACAGGGAATCTACAAAGCAATTCATATGCACATGATCAGAAGATACCTGAGATGACCCAAAGTTCTCACTTCTGGCTGATTTGTAATTGTACAAGCAGTTAAGTGAAAGCTAATACTCAACTGCCTAGTTGAGTGTTGAAGGCATGTCCCGTATCTCTCTTGCTCAGACACCCACAGTCTTTCTACAAAGACTGGGAGATTTTTTGATTACAGACTAAGAATTTATTCAGAGAAGTCACTAAGAAACAGCAGATATAATAAGCAGCAACAACCAACTCTTAGAAAGGCAACGTTTGATTTCTAAAACTGCCACATAATAATAATGAACATGTCCAGTTTTCAAGAAAAAATTATGAGAAATACAAAGAAACAAAATATAGTCCACACACAAGAAAAGAAGAAATAATTGGAATGAATTATTCACTAGAAGGGTTCAATAGCAGACCTGTGCAGGCAAAAGAATCTATTAACCTCTGGTCCATCCACCCAAAATGGTGAGGGGTAAGAAGGTGGCCTGGGACCCTGCTATTGTCAAGATACTGGAAGCCAAGAAGTTAGTAAATCCTACATGAGAAAAGGCTTCCAAGTTTTAGTATCAGACAGGACATTCAACCCAAAAGGGACCTCACCTGTTATGTTAAATAGCCCTGCTACATCTGATTGCATTGGCAATGATGCTTTCTATAATTAACCAGTTCACCCAGGCCTTAGACCTCTAGATAGCAACACAACTGCTGAAAGTGGCCTGTAAGAATGTTTGAGACACAGCAGGGGGAAAAACAGAAGTTGCTGCCCAGGGTTGAAAAGAAAGCTACTAACAAAGGAGATGTTCTTACCAACAGACCTGTTCATTGACACGGGGATAATACCGGAATCCACCTTGGTAGAAAACCAGAAGGCCCAGATAATGGTGACTGTAAGTCATGGACCACTTCAAGCTTGTCCTCCTATCAGTCCTATGTTGTAAAATAGGGTTATTCATACTATATCATCAAAGGGAAAGCTAAGCTAGAGTTGGATGTCTCTCAGCCAAGAAAGACTTGCACCACCCTTACCTTCATAAAGGTTACCCAGGAAGGCAAAGGAGCTCTGGATAAATTGGTGGAACCAATGTTCTAGATTTGATATCTGTGACCTGCTTTTTGCAAGGTTGAAAAAGCCAAAGGCCAGAGAACTGTCCACAAAATTGGGCTAACTAGCATACACAGCTAATTTTCTAAATACAGAAATAAATGTTATCATTCATCAGAAACAAACAAACAAAACAAAACAATCAAAGAACCTGTAGATAAGTTAATTGAAACTACTAGAGAAGCAGAAAAGAAGGAAAAGAAACTAAGAAAAACGAACAGTCTAAGAGACCCAGTAAAACACCAAAAATGCCAACATACGCATAACAGAACTTTCAGAAAGAAAGGAAAGAGAAAATAAGGCAGAAAGAATATATGAAGAAATCATGTTTGAAAGACAAATCTATACATTCAAAAAAGTTCAATGAACTCCAAGTGGCATAAATTCAAGAGAGTCATGGTGGTGGAGGTGGTGGTGTGCCAAGGAGTCGGTTCCAACTCATAGGAAACCTGAATAGGGTTTCCGAGGCTGTAAATCTTTATGGGAGAAGAAAGCCTCATCTTTCTCCTGAGGAATAATGGTAGTTTTGAACTGTCCACCTTGAGCAGCCTTAATTATAACCACTACGCTATCAGAGATCCTTCAAGACAGTCATGTTGTTGTTGTTGTCGTCAAGTGCCGTCAAGTTGATTCCGACCCATAGCAACCCTATAGAGGGTTTCCAAGGAGCAGCTGGTGAGCTTGAACCGCCGACCTTGCAGTTCAAATGGCTTTGCAGTCTGGCACATTAACCCACAGCGCCACACCAGGAGTCATAGAGACCTCATACTGTTGAATGTCATATATAAAGAGATAATCCTATAAGCATCAACTAAGAAGCGACTCATCATGCATGCTGTTAAGAGCCCTGGAGTCAGTTCTGATTCGAAGTGACCTATAGAGGGTTTCTAAGGAATGGCTGGTAGGTTTCAACTATCAATGTTATAGTTAGCAGTCCACTGCTGATCCTACAGCACCATTAAGACTCCAAAATCACTGCGGGAGCAGAAAACCTCATCTTTTTCCTGCAGAGTGGTTGGTGTGCTCAAAATACTGATGTAGTATGTCACAGTAAGCCAACGCTTATCATCTGAAGTCACCATCAAGTATTGTTGTTGTTAAATGCCGATGAGTCGGTTCAGACTCGTAGCGACCCTGTATAGGGTTTCCAAGGAGCAGCTGGTGAACTTGAACCACCAACCCTGCAGTTCAAACTGACTCTGCAGTCCAGCACATTACGTGCAACAGCACCTCACCTATCATATATAAGGGATCTTTTGTAAGATTGACAGTTTATTTTTCATTAGACGTCATGGAGACCAAAAGGGAGGGTGAAGACATATTCAAAGTGCTGAAACACAAACACTCACATGAACTATACATCTCAAACAAAACACAACAGCAAAATCCAGTTAAAGTAGCCTTCGGAATCAATGAAGAAATTAAGACATTCTCAGATAAACATATTCCCTACAAAACAGTCAACAGTGATTCTGTTTTGTCTCCTAGCTTATTGTGTAGTTACTGACTTCTTAAAAACTTATAAGTGGTCATTCAAGGCACAATTGGTCTCTTTTTGTCTAAAGCAACAGAGGAAGAAAAGGAATAGGAGGAATGGGTGGCTAATTGCCTTTAGGAATCACTGCCTCCTTGCCATGAGACCAGAACAACTGAATATTCTGATCAAAAATTTTATAGAAGAATCCTGATTAAAGGGTGAAAAATGCAGAAAGTTTGAAGAATTTAAAATTCTTATGGACTTCTGACTTTCTAAAGTCATGGAGACTGGATGAATCCCTGGCAAAATATTGAATGATACACAAAGCATCAAAAGAAGTTTGAAGGAATGCATAGAGTTACTGTGTCAAAAAGAAATGTTTGATGTTCAACCATTTCAAGAAGTAGCATATGATCAAGAGCTAATGGTATTGAAGGAAGAAGTTCAAAGTGCACTGAAGGCACTGGCAAAGAACAAGGCTCAGGGAATTGATGGAATACAAATTGAAATCTTTCAACAAACTGAGGCAGCACTGGAAGCCCTCACAACTCTGCCAAGACATTTGGAAGACAGCTCCCTGGCCAACTGACTGGAAGAAATCCATATCTGTGCCCATTCTAAAGAGAGGTGACCCAACCAAATGTGGAAGTCATCAGACAATCATCTCACACATAAGTAAAATTTTGCTAAATATAATTAAAAAACATCTGTTAATAGTACATTGAGAGGGAATTGCCAGAGGTTCAAGCTGGATTCAGACAAGGACATGGATGGATCTTGCTGATGTCAGATGGATCCTGGCTGAAAGCAGAGGATACCAGAAAGATGTTTACCTGTTCTTTACTGACAAAGCAAGAGCTTTCGACTGTGTGGATCATTACAAGTTATAGACAACTTGCAAAGAATGAGTATTCTGGAGCACTTAATAGTGCTCCTGAGGAATCTTTACACAGACCAAGAGACAGTAATTTAAATAAACTAGTACACTGAATGCTTTAAAATTAGGAAAGGTGTGTGTCAGGGTTGTGTTCTTTCTCCATACTTATTCAACCTGTATGGTAAGTAAATAATCCAAGAAGCTGGATTATATGAAGAACAGTGTTGTATTAGGACTGGAGAAAGACTCATTAACAACCTACAATATGCAGAAGATATAACCTTTTTGCTGAAAGCCAAGACCACAACTTTTGGTACGGGTTGCAGATAAATGTAAAGAAAACTTGAGCAATAAATAACATCATGACAAATGGAGAAAAGACTGAAGTTGTCAAATACTTCATTTTGCTTGTATCCCACTATCAAATTCATGAAAATAGCAAGTTATCAAAAAAGAGGAAGACCCCAATGAGATGGGCTGACACACTGGCGGCAATAATGGATTTCAACTTTGAGGATGACCCAGGACTGGACAGTGGGTTGTTTTGTTGTGCATATGGTTGCCGGGTCGGAACTGACTGGACGGAACCTAATAGCAACAAAACTACCATTTGATTCTCAAATCCCACTAAAGTTTTACCATTTGTCCCAATGTCTTTAGTAGCAAAAGGTTTGCTGAAGGTTCAGAATCAGGTGCTGAATTTAGTTATCATGTCTCTTTAATCTCCTTCAGCCTGGAAGAGTTCCTTAGGCTTTTTGAATTTTATGACATTGACACTTCTGAAGATTACAGGACAATTATTTTGTAGAATATCCCTTGAGGTGGGTTGGTATGCACACTGTCTCTTGGGCAGTTTTCACCGCTGACGATGCATTTTCACTGTATCAGTTTTGATTTGTCTCATTAATAATAATGCTCAATTTGATAATTTGGTTAAGATTTCCTTTTGTACCACAATTCTTTGAGCACATCCTTACTTTCTCACAAAAGGTATTCCAGACTCATCATGTACTTTTGCTGCTCCTGTACTGAAATAAGGATCCCTAGTTCTGTTTAGTAGTATTTAAAGGTCAAGACCTGTGCAATAGGTATGCTCATTTCTATTAAATTAAGAGGTAATAGAATTTTTTCATGAACTTTTCAAATTCTCCTTGTAGAGAGACATAAACATCAAAATACTCAAGCCATTTGTTATATACTTTATTCTTCTATCTACCTGTTTGTATATTCAAAAGTCACAAATGCAAATGGAGACTTCCAATTTGAATCCATCATAAATTTCCCCACTTTCTGTACTGGTACCGCCTTTTAAAAAATAATTAGAAATGTTAAAACTCTCTTCAGTTACAGTTAAGTATATCTAGATTATGAGTTTTGAACTTTGGAACCACTCCTCCTCTCAGCTAAGTATCATGTGGACCCAAGTGACAAGGCACAGAAACCATTTACGATAAAAATGTCTCAAAGCAAATAACCCAATATGTCTGTATCACCACCTTGAATAATGAAACACAGCACATTCACTTGTAAGAGCAATAATCACATGTGTGATTTAGTCATTCCCTGTTTATCCATTAAAATGCTACTCTAAACCGACTCGATGGCACACAACAACAACAACAACAAGAGTCCAAAACTAATGCCAAAGAATAAGATGGCTGGTACTACAAAGCAGTATATCTCGTGTGTGCCCTTGAGACAAGTTACTATTTGTAGGACTCATTTCCTTCATTTGTAAAATGAAGATGCTGGGCAAAAACACTAGTTCACAAATGTGAGACCCATTAAATTATTTTAGAAATATGTAAAAATTCTGACTCCCATTCCAGACTTATTCAATCTTTGGGGATTTTCATCAGTTTCTTCCATTGATTCTGAAATACAGACAGGTTGGAAACCATAGGCCTAAATGACCCTAACATCATTGAGAGTTACATACATTTTCTGTAACCTCACAAGTACCTTGCAAGGCATATAAATCACTGTTCTAAAAATTAAGAACCAAGACTCAGAAAGGTGATTGATTGCCTAGTCACACAAGTAAACAGCTGAGCCAAGAGTCCAATTCAGTTGGTCCATTTTATTGCTGTGTAGTTCTGTTATTCTTTAGAGAACTTAAAATGTTGCCTATTATTTTAAACTTATTTTTAAAAGGTAAAAAATTTCAAGTGCCTTTTTTGAGAAATGATTGCTAAAACAGAGTTGGGGCTAAGAGGGTTCAGTACTGTTGGGAAGATAAGGTTCACATTACATCACTTCAAAAGCTGCAACACAGAGACAACACCCACCTTAACTGTACCATCATCACTGCCAGTACAGACAAGCTGGGGACCTCTCCTGGCTGGATAACAGGAATTCACAAAGGAAGTATGTCCTTTCAGTCTTTTAACTCTCTCGCCTGTCTCACTATCCCACACAGCCACAGTTTTATCTGTGGATGCTGAGAAGAGCATGCTAGAAGGCAAAAACAAAAAAGAAATAAGTAAAGATAATAGCAATCTACCGTTTTTACTTGCAAAAATTTTGATGATGTTGTATATGATGCTATCTGTTTGGAATGCCTAACACTACCCACAAAAATTTCACTTTCTCTAGAGCGCATTATGAGATCTACCCAGTGAAGTTTTAAAAAAGATCCTTCTCTGAACTCTATGACATATTATACATCAAATACAGCAGTTTTCTCAATCTTTATTTCTCCTCAGTGATAGATAACATTTTACACATAAGACACATTCCATCTGGAAATGTGTAATTCCTCTCTGCTTCTGCAGAAACAAAACAGACAGTGGTAATTCCAGACCTGATAACTGTGCAACTCCAAGCCTATTTCTAAAAACCAAAGCTTTTATTTTGTCTCTAAGGATCATTTCTAAGTTATAACTGATTTCATAATGCCTTCTTTACTGCTAATAGCAAGGATGATGGCTCAAATCCACCAGCTGCTCTGAGGGAGAAAGGAGGTACCTGCTACTATAAAGATTTTATATAAAGTCTCAGAAACTATACATAGGGTTTCTGGCATCCTGGTGTGGTGCTGTAGGATAAGCACTGGACTGCTAATCAAAAGGTCAGAGGTTCAAACCCTGCTGCTTCTCAAAAAACGCTTTACGAGGTTACTATGAATTGGAACCAGTTAGATAGCACTTAAGAACAAGAAAGAATCAGAGTTGACTAGATGGCATCCCTAGATATGCTTGCTTTTTCCTTAAACGTTAATATTTACAGGAGAAAAATGTATAAAAGGCTATATACCAAGTTAACCCAGGTTTTAGAGGGCAGAAGTATAAAGAAGTGAAAATTCACCAAAATCCTTGTGTGTGTGCTGCTGAGTTGGTTCTGATTCATAGTGCCTCTGTACAGGGTTTCCAAAGCTGTAACTCTTCACAGGAGCAGAAAGTCTCATTTTTTGTCCCTAGGAGTGGCTGTTGGGTTTGAATGGCTGACCAGTGTTTAGCCTATAGGGCCACAGCAGGTTGGAACAATGGAATTCATTTTGTTTTGAGTAGAAAAAAGACTTCAAGGAAATATATCATAATATTAACAGTGATTTATCTTTTGAGTAGTAGGAATACGGATCTTTTTTAGCTTTCTGTTTTTTGGGTTCTCAAAATAAATATTTCATCACTTTCTTAGAAAACACATAAAAATTAAATTTTGCTGTATATTTTAAAAAGAAAACAAGTTTGGCTGGATTGGTAATATATTAGATGACAAAGATGACATAATACATTGCATACATGTAACAATAAAGATAGTGATCCATATTGAAAGCTCTTTTGAAAGAGGAAACTCAAGGATGAAAGGTGAGATGATGGTAAGAATCAATATCAGAAACAACTGTCTTTCTATTATGCAAAATACTCACCTGCCATCTGTGTTATAATGCAGTTCCATGACGGCTCCACTGTGTCCCTTCAATGTGGCATAGTTATCACAGTCACCATACACATTCCACAACACTGTTAAGGAGACAGGGGTTTCATCTTACAACAGGCAAATAATAAATAACCACAAGAAAAAGAAAAGTCAAATGTGAGATGAAATGAGTTCTCTGGCTCTTTTCTGACAACTCTATGACTTAGGGTGAATGATGTTTCTTCACTGCTCATTTTGATTTAGATGCTCTAGTTCTGTGATCTTTTAACTCAAAGGTAGACAAGCATCTGGAAGGCATGGGGTCTTTGTAAAATATCCATGAATTGCCGATATATTTAATTTCAACAAATAAGCTGTTGTTGTTAAGTGCCATCAAGTCGATTCTGTCTCATACAAGTATGTACAGGGTTTCCAAAGAGCAGTTGGTGGGTTTGAACTGCCAACCCTGTGGTTCACAGTCCAGTTCTTAGTCTAAAGTGTTACACGCAGAGTCCACATCAAACAAACTAGGAACACTTTTATAGGCAGAAAAAGAACTTTTATATATATGTACTTTATTGTCTATATGGCTATACTTTTTAATACTCATCAAACAGTATTCATGTTAGACCAGGCTCCCTGAAGATAAAAACTGTGTTGCTCTGCTGAGCCCAGATCTCATTTTGCTAAATCAGCTCAAATTTTACCTTAATTAAGGAAGATATTCTCTAGCTAGAGCAACATAGTTTCCAACCAGTCAGATAATCCCTTCTTTATTTACCACACAAACCCTCCAAGGTTTATACTCAAGACCATTCATTATTTTCATGCCCCCATTTTAATATGTTACCTAAGTAGTTTGTTGTGTTGCTTCACCTTCAGAAATAATCACCTCAGAGGATATGTCTAAGGTTTTTTTATAAGTCACTATTTGGCAGAGAGCAATTACACCGTATTAAAAAATTATGCCTTACGTATCAGTCTGTCAAATCCTGCCGATGCTAAGGTGGATCCATTGGGGTGAAATTTGCAACAGTACACTTCTCCTTCATGTCCTGAGAGCAGCATGATTGGGGCTTGAAGGGAGGAACACCTAGGAGGACCCTAAACAGAAGAAAGAACAGAGTAGCTACAGAATACAAGCAAAGGAGACTGCAAAACTGGAGGAAGGGGAAAAAATTAAGTTGATTTCAGCTTTTCTAACATCACTCATGTTTCTAAAACAAAACGAGTCAAAAATTATCTGCACTCCAGCTGTAGAATTTGTTTAATCAATTTTTGGAAAAGACAAATACATCATTTTTGAAACCATCTCTTTGCTTTTCAACACAGGTTGTCCATCTGTCAACAGGCTTTTGTATTCCTTATTTAAAATACAAAAAGGCTGCGCTGCAACCCACGAATGCACCATTGTCTTCATCAGAAGTGAAACTTCATCCTAGAAGGGCTACTTTCAGGGGACCAAACAGGTGAAAATCCATGGAGCAAGATCAGGACTACAGGGAGGATGCTTTTAAACACCTCAAAACACAATTTTTATAGAGTGTCGACAATTTGGGCAGTGTTGTGTGGACGTGCAGTATCATGCAAGATCATAACGTCCTTGGATAGCAGTCCTCTGTGTTTAATTCCAAGTTTGGCTTCAGCTCTTCATTGTGTATCTCACTGTACTGAGCACTGTTGACCATTGAATATTTTCCTGATAGTGTTCCAATATTAGCTCTAGAGACTCCCAGAAAACTGTAAGCTTCGATTTTCCGACTGATGGTTGACTTTTGAACTTTTCTTGGTTGGCAATTGAGGACATTTCCCTTCCATACTCTACCATTTACTCTCAGGCTTGTAGTGATGAATCTGTATCTTGTCACCAGTTAACCATTTTTTTTAAAAGAAACTTTTACCTTCCTTCAGTCCAAGTTTTGTTTGCAGATGTCCAAATGCATAAACTTTTTGAAACCTAAGTCATAACCAGAGTGGTTTAAAACGCCTGTCCAAATCCACAGCTGATGACAACAATGAGCGTGCATGCATATGAAACAGTTCTGTTGAATAGATGAGTGACAATGGATTATGTGGCAAATCAGCCATGGCTCTGTCTATGAAATACTCCACAAGAGACTTGGGTTTCGAAAAGTTTATGCAAGATGGGTACTGAAACAACTCACAGAAGAGCATAAACAGAAGTGTTTGGATATCTGCAAATGTATGATTCTCTGGGGCAGAACTTTCTAATGTCTACATCTACCTAACTCTCTTCCTACCTCACTCTGCTCCTGTCCCATAGCCAACTTACTGCTCAAGCATGTTAAACTCTTTTTACTTCAGGATCTTTACATTTGTAGCTCCCCCTAATTCGAATCCTTTTTCTCTATACGTTCCCATGTTTGTCTACTTTCAAGTTTCCTATTTAGAAAGTTCTTCCTTGATCGCTCCAACTCATGTAGCATCACTATTCTTATCTATATTCCTTTCATCTTACTATATTCTTTTACAGTACTTACCCCTATCTGAAATTACCTTGATGTGTATTGGTTTACATATTTCTTGTTTTTCCCACTAGAATAGAAGCTCCATGAATGCAGGGATCTTTATTTTTTGCCCCCTTGAAGGAAAAGAAACTTAATAAGCTAAGAAAAAGAATTTGAAAAGCACATTAGTAATGTCATTTGACATAGTTAATACATCTAATATGGTAATTCAGGTTTATAATGAAGACCACCTAACAATACTTAAACTAGATTTACTTTCACTCAATTTACAATAAAAGGTTAAAAACAAACAACAAAAAAAAAACAACACAAAAGATAAAGCAAATTACATATAGTATACCAGTACAGATTTATAGCCTCAGAAACCCTATACAGGGTCGCTATGGGTCAGAACTGACTCACTGGCACTTAACAACAGCAACAACCCTTTTAAAAACTCTTTTTGTGGTGTGCTGTAGTAGAACTGCCCCATTGAGCTATTTTGTTTCTAAAACACTTTTGATTGTGATTTGGGTAAAAGTATACAGAGCAAATTGGCTTTCCATTAAACAATTCAGACATTTTGTTTTGTGACATTGGAATCTTCACAATGTAATAGCACTCTTGTCACTTCCTCCCGTGTTTAGTTTCCAATAGTGAATGAAGGGATGCTGTCTGCATCACCATTCAACACTCTATTTCTAGTGTCTACAACTTTTTTTTATGACTAAAAACTTTTTTTTTATGACTAATTGAACTTTTTTTTAATGACTAATTGAAATGAGCTTCCAACAACCCAGCAACATAAGGGTTACTGGGGGAAAGTAAGTTTGATTTGTCTTTGGGCACTAAGTATAGGCTCGGGCAATCCGTTTTCCAAATTTGAACTGACATACTCAATTGTCAAACGGAAAAAAAAAAGCTTCTTGTTGTTAAGTGTTGTCAAGTCCAATTCAGCAAACTTGTATAGGGTTTCCAAGGCTATAAATCTTTACAGGAGCAGAAAGCCCATCTTTGTCTAACAGAGAAGTTGGTGGGCTCAACCTGTCAACCTGGTGGTTAGCAGTCTAGAGCTTATCCTACAGAATCACAGCACTCCAAGCCTAGGCTTGGGCATTTCACTTCCTAAACCTGAACTGATATGCTCACTTGTCAAATAGGAAGAAGTATACTACCAATAATCTCCAAACGTCTTCAGTAGTTCCCAGTTTATTCATTTATTAAAAAAATACCATGTGCCAGGCTGTGTTCCAGCCACTGTGGAAAGAGTAGTAAACAAAATAAACAATGGAGCTCACATCTAGTGGGAAAGAGGGAGAACAGGCGAGGAAGAAGTAAAATATATAGAGGATGGGAGTCTCCAGGTGGTGCAAATAAATAGCTAATGCGCTTGGACTGCTAACTTAAATGTTTGGCAGGTCAAGCTCACCCAGAAGTGCATCTATTCCCCTCCAAATCAGCCAATGAAAAACTGTATGGAGTACAATTCTACTCTGACATGCATGGGGCCATTGCTGAGCTGGAATTGATTTGATGGCAACTGGTTTATGTCTATGGAGAAAAACAACGCAGAATGCGGGCTAAAGATCATGCGGTTACTGCAATGTAAAATAGAAGGCCCAGGAAGGTACGCACACAAAAAGTGATATTGGGGCAAAGATTCAAAGGAGCTAAGAGTGTGTAAACCTTTTGGACATTTTGTAGAAGAACATTCCAGCAATGAGAACAAATGCAAAGGCCCTGACAAGAACGTGGAAGCCAGTACAGCTGGAGTGAGTGCGCAAAGATTGGTAGACCGAAGAAGTAAAAAGGAAGAGTGTACGGATGTTGACATTTACTCTGAGTAAAGTGGAAGGTCCTAGACAAAGCAGAAACAGGAAAACCAGTTAGAATCTGTCTACTTGAAATCATGCCAGATGAGACAATAGCTTGAACAAGGTCATGAAGGAGGGAGATGGGAGAAGTGGTGGTACTTCTGGATATACACTGAGAATGGTACCCGTGGGATTTCCTGGCAGTAGGTTGAGCAGTTGAGAGAAAGAGGGAACACCTTGTATCTCATAAAAGTCCAGTAGGAGAGGTGTGATCACTACCTCTATCTTATAAAAAGGGTAGTTAAAAACGCAGATTCTAGAGATAAAATGACTTGGTTCAAAATGTGTATGCACATCTATGTTCTTTGCAGCATTATTCATAGTAACAAAAAGATGGAAACAACCTAAGTGCCTGTCAAGGGACTACTAGCTAAATAAAATGTGACACGCACATGTAATAGAATGCTATGTAGCCCTACGGAGTCCTGGTGTAGCACTGTGGGTTCATGAGCTCGACTGTGAAGTTGGTTTGAAACATAAGGTCGGTGGTTCAAACTCACCAGCTGCTCACAGGAAACAGGGTCGCTATGAGTTGGAACCCACTTGATGGCATTTAACAATAACAACAATGTAGCCATACAGAATACTGATGAGTTCTCAATATTTATATTAGAACAAAAAATTGGAGGATATAACACTGAGTTAAACAAGTCAATCAAACATAAAAATACAGTAAGTCTACACACTGAAACCAATGTTCACTGGTGGTTACCAGAGATCGGATGGGGTAGGGAAGATAGCTGTAGTTCCGAGTAGGTTCCGACCTATAGCAACCCTGTATAGGGTTTCCGAGGAGCAGCAGGTGAGCTTCAATCGCCGACCTTGAGGTGCAAACCGATTTTGCAGTTGAGCGCATTAACCCACATTGC